AAAACTTGATTTCTACCAGCCAATAGGGCAAGCGGGATTTCGTACCGGATTTGGAACAAATGATCACCTACAGTGCATTAAAACGGTAATAGAAAAGACTATCAAATACAATCGACCACTCGTTCTGGCTTTTGTAGATTTCCATAAAGCCTTTGACACGGTAGAATTTGACAAAATCCTGGAAGCACTACAAGCATGCCGCATTGACTACCGATATACAAGGTTAATTTACAATACATACAAGAACGCAACTATGTCGGTGAAACTACATGAAAACACGGATCATATCCCAATCGGCAGAGGAGTCCGACAGGGTGATACCTTATCGCCTAAACTGTTTACCGCAGTACTAGAATATGCTTGTAAAAAACTTAACTGGGAAGAGAAAGGCCTGAACATTGACGGTAGAAGATTAACAAATTTGAAATTCGCAGACGACATAGTTTTGTTCTCGGACAACCTCAAGGAGATATGTACAATGCTACATGAACTTCAGTTAGTGTGTGCCAGTGTGGGTCTTAAAATAAACATCTTCAAAACAAAATTCATGACAAACCTAGTACCTAGCGGAAATATCAATATATGGAATGACAACGAAGTAGAGCTCTGAAGTATACATATACTTGGACACGAAATAAAGATCACAAGAGACAACCAAACATGCAAACTACGAAGAAGAATAAACCTAGCATGGGCAGCATATGGAAAACTCAAAGACATCTTTAAAAGCGATATACCAATTTCTTTAAAACGTAAAACATTTGACCAATGTGTGTTGCCTGTGATGACCTATGGTGCCGAAACTTTGACATTGACAGCTACAAGTTCTAAAACGCTGCAAATAGCTCAGAGGAAAATGGAAAGATCAATGCTGAGTATATCGCTTCGTGACTGAGTTAGAAATGAAGACTTAAGACGAAGAACAGGAGTTACCGATGTAATTTCCCGAATTGCCACACTGAAATGGAACTGGTCCGGACACGTCGCCCGAATCAGTGATGAAAGGTGGACGAAGAGATTGCTTGAGTGGAGGCCGAGGTTAGACAAAAGAAGTAGAGGAAGACCCCTACACGTTGGACTGACGATCTCAAGAACATGTCAAGAAATTGGATGAAAAGTGCTTCAAGACAGAGCACAATGGACAAAAATGAGGGAGGCCTATGTCCAACAGTGGACGCAAAGGGCTAGGTGATGATGATGATAATATAATTTGTACAAAATATTTTTAAAATGTAATAATCTGCAATAGATGTTCAGATGTCTATGTGACTTGGTATATTTTGTATATTCGACTTATTCGTTTTAGTTGTTCAGATTTTGCCTTTTGTTTGCAAGAGTTTTTAAAGCAATGTTTCTGTAACTACAGAGACTTGGTACCTGTGTATCTTTATTTTTGTTTTATTGATACCTTTTTGATGATTCCGAATCAAATACTGGGTTTGTGTCATGATACTATGAACTAAAGATAAACCCACACGCACGCGATCAGTCGTGTGACGTCACTTGGCGACAAATGTCACCAGAAATGTTCTGTGTTGTATGGAGTTTTGTCAGATTTAGTATTGTTTTATCGTTTATCTTGTACGTTGACATCGGTTTATTGGGTAAAACCAAAGGTTATAAACCATATCCAGATTTTCTAATTAAATGTAATGAACTGAACCATATTTTTAACAATTTTAACAAAGGGTCATTAAAATTAACCAAGAATTATTTAAAATCGCTAATAGATTTAGCTGTGTTAGTAAACGCAAGTTCAGATGTCAAACATCTTTTTTTTAGGTGTAAATTAATTGATTATATTAAAAAAAAATCAAAGTTAAGAAAAAAATATTAAAAGTTGAAAAATAAATTGTTAAATAAACTTTTAAATTATTACAGTGTACTTTATTTTATCAAATGTATTAAATTTTTAGTTTAATAAATCAATCCATTGTATATAAATTTCCATTTCCAAAAGGATGTTTAGTTCCTACTTTTTCATATAATTTTATTATCTATTTAAATTATATTAATTTACATTGCTAGGCTAACAGAGATGTACCGGGTGGTCCAATAAGCCGATCTCTCGGCTATATATCAGAAACTGTTTATGTTATAACTTTAGGAGAAAAAATTCCTTAGTAAAAATGGCCAAGAGAAATCGCTGGAAATAACTTTCAAGATTCTGGATTAACCGCTAGGGGGCGTAACCTGCGAAGAAAATTTTGAAAACCAGTTTTTTGGGAAATATGTCCAATTATACCAAGTGTTAAATAAGTAAACTAGAAAGAGGCATAAATTCTGCACAAAGTTGTTCAAGTACTTTTTTTTATTTTTTCAAATAAAGGGTGGGGGAGAGTGGGAAAGTATTTGTGGATAAATACCTATAACTTTGGTTTGGATCAACCGATTTTAATGAAATTAGTGTCATTAGAAAGAGTGTGGATGAAATAATTCACATCTACTATAAAATACTTGCATTTAGTTTTAATAGTTGTAGGTAGAGGGGACTTTCAAA